GTGGGGGGTGGGGGTCCCCCCCCCCGCCTCTCTGGGTGTGGCGGGAGCTAAACTAACAGAGGGCCTGTCCTAGAGTCAGAACCTTCGGCCTGCCCCGAGTCTTACACAGAACACTGGGCAGACCACACGCTCAGTGACCCAGGGACTGACCGGGTCAGGCCCCTCTCCTCCAACGGTGGTCTGGACAGTGACGGCACCCTTCTCCCTAGTCCCCATCCCGTGAAGAGTCCCGGCCTTTGCTCCCAGCCGCCCAGGGAACAGGGTGGGAGGGGCTGACTGCGACATGCATGCCATCATGTGACAGCACGTCTACCCACCGCAGAAGTAGGAGGTGCAGCACGAGTCCCCCAGGCGGCCCGCGATCAGGATCTGGTCCGGGCGGCAGCGGGGGACCAGCTCAGTCTCGCACTGATCGGGGTCACACTCTGGGGAAAACAGAATTTGAGTGCTGAGAGCAGAACCTCCCTGAGCCTGCTGGCCCCGCTTGGGCCTGCTCTAGTCTCCAGCCAGAATCCGGGCTCAGAGCCGTCCTCCCTTCCCACCCTACCCTAGGCCGCATCCCACTCTCCAAGCCCAGGGCCTCTCACCACAGCTGTAGCTGGGGCAGCAGGAGTCCTCCTGGAAGTGGGTGAGGAGCCGGTGGCCTGGGCGGCAGGTGGGGGCGAGGCCCTCACACAAAGTCTGGTTACACACTGGCCCGGGGGCCACAGGGCCTGTCACCTGGAGGCCAGGACATCCCTGCCATGCTCCAGCACTGCCCAAGTCCTGGACACCTGGCCCTTATTGCTCCCCAACCTCCCAGCTCCCACAGGCCTGAAGAGGCTTCTGAGGGACACAGGGGGCTCAGGACTGGGACAGAAGAGCAGGAAGACCTAGCATTCATCGAGGCGCCCTGAGGCCAGCTGCTGGCCCGGCCAGTATCTACTTAGGTGACCCACGACAAGGACTCAGCCAGGGCTCAGGGCATGTCCAGTGATTTGCCTGAGGCCCTAGGCTCAGGGCGGTGGAGGAAGCTGAGGCGGGGTCTGCCAGAACCAGGCGGTCTGGCTCCAGGCCTCTGCCTCTACCACTCTCCCACACTGACTGTAAGCTCAGCTCCTGTCCCCCGGCTAGGGTTCTCTGCTCCCCACTGTAAGCCGCTCCATTATCCCGGGCCTTGCCCTTTGAGGTCTGCGGGCAGGTCTGGAGCTTCTCACTCTCCCTTACTTGAGGGCCAGGGGAGTGAAGGGGACTCACCACAGACTGTCCCCAGGCAGCAGGGGTCCTCAGTGGGCAGGAGCAGGGCTACCTCCCCGAAGCGTGGACAGCTCTCAGGGCGGGGGCCTGGGCAGCCCGTGTCCACTGGGACGATGGTGTCTGGAGCCTGGCACTGCTGTTGGCAGCAGCCGCTGAGGGAGCTGTTCCAGGTTTCCCCAAGGGCCCGAGGCACCCCAGAGCTGTCAGTACAGGCTGCGGCCAGGCACAAGGCAGGGTTTGGGGACTAAGGATGGGGGAGACCCAGACTGTCCTGTCCGAGGGGAGATCCTCCGGGGACACAGACCATCCCCAGACCAGAGGTGGGGGGATGCAGCTGGACCTCAGCCACGGGCAGCAGGGGCCAAAGGAGACCCTAGAGTGAGGCCAGCCGGGGAGGGGAGGCACCTACCACACTTGTCCTCGGGGATGCAGAGTGCCGAGTGGCGCCGGTGCAAGATGGTGCCCTCTGAGCAGACGCAGCCCTCCCCCAGTACCTGGCACTGCTCCGGGTCTAGTGGGCCCAGCATCCCATCCTGGCATGTCTCGGGGGGCTCACAGGCTGCCACACATGCCTGGTAGGTGGAGTCGCTGGAGCACAGGAAAGCTGCAGGGGCACAGCAGGCAGCAGGCCTAGCTCGGACCCAGGAGGCTCACCACCGAGGGCCGACAGCTGGCAGCAGAAAGGGGTGCTCAGGACGTCGCCAACGTCTCAGAAAAGCGTGTTGTCTAGACCAGGAGCCACAAAGTACAGGCCACGGTCCTATCGGCCTGTTGTCTGTGTTATTGGAACACAGCCAGGCCTGTCCATCATCTACTGTCTGTGGCTGTTCTACTGCAAGGGCAGAGTTGAGTGTTGTCACGGAGACCACACAGCCCACAAAACTCAAATAGGGACTGTCTGGCCCTTGACAGAAAAGTTTGCCAACCCTGACCAACTTCTCGATTGGTGTCTTTAAACGTCCTTGACTATAAAACATCGATTGTACTTGGAGCCAGCAGGTGATGTAGTGGTTAAAGTACCGGACTCCCTCGTGGCCGCCTACAGTTTGAGGCCTGGACCCAGCGTCTTGAAACTCACGCTAGGTATAAGTGTGTGTGTGCCCTAGATCCTTAGAGGAGAGTGGAGGAGAAGAGATTGCAGTGTGGCCATCCCCCTGGGGGCTGATTTCTCACTTTCTCTCTTTCCATCTCTCTGGTGAGCACACTTGCCCTATAGCTAAAATCTC